CCCTCCAGGCAGCCTCTGCTCCCTTCATTCTTTCATAGTTTTTTCTGGTGGTGGCTGTTTCCAGACCAGTGAAATTGGCAACCAGCAGCCAGGCCTTGGGGGCGGTCACTGGTTAGGGCACTGGGGGCATGCTTGTTTTCTGGGGTGACCAAATTGAGGAAGCGAGTACCCACAGAAGGCTTGGGCTTACAGATTGGAGCTGGCCAGGGATAAGTATGCTGTCTTGCAATTGAGTTTTTAAAAAATAATCACAGAAGTGCCAGAATTGAGTGGCAGGCGCTCAGCAGCTCGACTCCTCTGTGTAGTGTGGCCGCCAAAGAGGCTGGGGGATTCTGGGCTGCTCCCCAGAGTCAGATGTCCCCTGGCATGATCAGACTCCCTGCAGAGACCCTTGCATCTAGTTATGGGCTCCACACTTCAGAGATGAGGACAGGCTGGGGTGTGTCCAGAGCCTAGTGATGGTTCTAGGAGCTGCTGGTAACCGAGCGTGTTTGTCTGTCTCAGAGATGAGAGATGGGATGGCAGGGGTAGTGGGAGGTGGGGTTGGCAGGGCCGCCGTTGGTCGGGAGGAGACAGACCGGAGCACAGTGGACAGATGGCCCTGAGGCCGGGCTTCCTCCCGCAGAGACCTCTCAGAAGGTTGGATTTCCTTCAGTGTGGAGCCTTTCGTGGTGTTGTGAGCTGTTAGGACTTCTTGGCTTGGCCTCGTGACTCAAATTCACTTCTCTGGCTCTGCATTATATCTTCTGGCGGAATGGGAGGTCCTGGAGGGCACGGCTTGGCCTTTTGAGTTTTTGTGCCTGGTGCACTTGCAGTGAGCTCTTCCACATGTTAGAGCTCACTTGAATTAATGTAGACTTCCCAGAAGCAGACTGGGCTTGCTTGGGTCCCCCTTCGTTGGACAATTCCCCAGAGCCCAGGCCATCAGCAGCAGGAGCAGGTACCCTCAGAGAACCCCACTGCTTTGTGTTGGGGCAGTTCTGTGATACCCGAGAGGCAGCTGTTCTGGCATCCATGCACCCTGAGCACGGACTATTGACTGCTGCTTCCCGAGCAGCCAGTGGGCCCTTCTGAGGGGGAGCGTAGGGAAGCTGCCTTCTCTTCATATCTTGTTTAGCCCCAGCCCATGGTAACTGGGGACAGCAGAAGGTAAGGGCAGGGGCAGCTGACTGACAGAGGAGAGGGGAGCCCAGAAAGACAGTCCGGAAATCTCTGTGGTCATCACAGAGACCTGGACATTGTGATTGTGCCCTGGGGTTGTGATGGGAGCCCATAAAGGAGAGGCCAGGGAGGAGGTCTGAGGGGCTTGGGAAAGCTTTGTGGAGAACGCGGCAGCACAAGCCCTTGGACAGGTTGCTTGGTGTCAGGGCACGTCGAGAGGCTGGAGAACTTGTCTCAAGAAGGAGAGGGAGCAGAAGGCTGCTTGTCTGTCTCCAGGTCAGGGCCTTGTTGTTTCCCAGGGGCAGGCTGGCTCTCCTGGGAGGGCTGGAGGCTAGCGAGCCCCTGCTTGGCTGCTGCTGGCTTGGAAGGGGCCACTGATCCCCCTCAGGCCCCCTGGGTAGGGTGGGATCAGTAGCGGTAGCGCTTCTCTTTAGAGGCTCAGCTCATGTGGATGCATCCCCATGACCAGCTCTGATTTGGAAGGAAGGGGGAATGTCAGACGTGGAGGCCAGCTCTTGGCTCTTTGACCTTCAAAGCGGGGCATTTGGGGCAGCTAGGTGGTGCAGTGGATAGAGCCTGGCCTTGAAGTCAGGAGGACAAGAGTTCAAATCCAGTCTCAGACACATGGCGCTTACTAGCTGTGTGGGGATTGCCTCACCAAAAGAAAAAACAAAAAAAACCAAAGCTGGGCATTGTCTTCTTCAGTCATGATTTGCACAGAGCGAGAAGGACGAGGTCCTTGGCACCTCGGCGAGGAGAGTGAGGAGGAAAGGGGCCTTATGTTGGTGGCGTGGCATTTTCACGTCAGGTGTGTTTGGGGAGCCAGAATTTAGGGGCCTTGTGGAATATCATGGGAGAAGGGCAGGGCTGCCTTGGGAAGACCACTGATTCTCTGCTGCGCTACTTTTCTGTTTGGGAGGTAAAAGGCCTTAAAGGACAGGGTTGTTTCTCAGAATTTCCCTCTTCCCAACTAAGAAGAGCAGTTAGTTGAGCACAACGCATGTCTGAATGCTGAGTGGTCAGCACCTGTAGTCCCTCACTTCTCTGCCAAGCAGAGGGATAGTTTTTCCTTTGGCAGAATATTTAGGTAAACTTTATCCCTGTTCCCTCACCCCCTGTTGTGTCTTTGGTTTTGATGACCGCGTAAATGTGCTTAGTTGTACATTTGAGTATAGAGCAACTTCATGTCTTTATTCTATTTTGAATTCCTTTTATATTTCTTTATTTAGACCTGGTAAAAGTCTTCTTGAGAGAAAGATGGAGTTGACAGAACATTTGCAAAACAACAAGTCATGTTGTACCAACAGTGTAGGCCCTTCTTTACCATCCAGTAGGATTTTAAAGATGAATACCTTACCGCGAGTTACAAAGTATACATATAAAACAGACCATATGCTACCAGCATGGCTTTTTTGGAGGTAGAAAAGGCTCAGAGGCTGGATTTTCACTGTAGCATTGGAAGTGGTGGCCAAACCGTTGGACTTTTGAGCCCTAAAGGATGACCCCGATTGGGTCATCTACTGCTTGTGTGAGGTTTTGCTTATGGTGTGGGGAGTGGCTCTGGACGGGACTCCTGATCCCTGCCCCAGCCTTCTGGTTGTTGGGACAGTCTCTTTCTTTCCACAAAATCAGCAGGAGGAGGGAGGGAAGAAATTTCAGCTCTTGCTTAACCTTGGGGTGTGCTTCTCTCTGCTTCTGCTGCTGCTGCTGCTGCCAGCAAGGTTTAGGCGATTGAATGCAGCTCCGATGGGAATTCACCTGATGGTGGCAGGGAGTTCTGCTTTTCATGGACTGAGGACCGGGCAGACGGGGTTGTTTCGTGCCTTTTTTCTGGGGGGCAGGACCCTGTGACATTGGTGCCAGGATTTTCCCACTTTGCCTTGGTTCCGTGGTGGCTCTTAGTGGAGGGGCTGGGCTGGTGGCCGAACTGCTGGAAACGCTAGGCCAGAGTAATGGGCTTGGTGTCAGGAAGACCCGAGGTCACTTAGTAGACCCTAGTGGGGTGACCCTGGGCAAGTCACCTCACCTCTGCTTGCCTCAATTTCCTGAACTATAAAATGGGGATAGTAATACTACCTTCCCTGAGGTGTGGTGAGGATCAAATGTGCTCTGGTTGTAGAGGGCTTTGCAGTCAGTGCTGGTTGGAGTCATCATCTTTGCTCGCATCCCTCCTTTCCATTTACGATCACATCAGGGACCCTCGGCTTCCTTGCATGGACTCAAGTCCCGTAGAAGCTGACTTAGTAATGTAAAAGGCTTTTTTCAAACTTCAGCATTTACCCAGGCATATCATGAAGAAATAGTCCCAGGGATGCAGAGCCTCTCCTGAAAAAGGGCATCTCCCTGGAGGACTCTCTGACCCCACAGGTACTGTGGCGCTGGGCCGCTGGGGTCTCCCAGCCAATGGCCGGTCGTCATTACTGAGCCCCCTGCAGCTAGTTCTTAGCCCTCAGGAGCTGGGAAGAGAGCTCGGGCCTGCCCACTGCATGGCCTTGTGGCCTGGGTGCCGGCATGCCTCTGATTTGGGGCCAACCGCCTGAAGGGACCACACGTTGGCTCTTAACAGGGTGTAGGGGGCAGAGCTGGAGTCCAGGGGACTGCGGAGAGCTAACAGACGGCGTGGTCTGGGCTTTGAGGCCTCTCTGGTGCTGGCTGGTAGTCTCATTCTTGCTCTCCGGTCTCTGCCGTAGTGTTTACAACAACAACAACCACAGCACAAGTTTTGTTTACCTGTAGAACAGCAATGAAAATACGTTTGCAAGTTTGAGATGGGTCAGATTTTTTCTGTTTCTCTCTTGGATGAGTCAGGGCGCCATGGTGCACAGAGCGCCAGGCTTGGAGTCAGGAAGACTCATCTTGCTGCGTTCAGATCCAGCCTCAGATGCTTCCTTATCTGGGTGACCCCACATAAGGTCACCAAGAGTCAGACGCGACTGAAAAACGGCCAGGCAGCAAGGAGCGGCTTTCTAACCCGTGGCCATGGTGCTTCAGGGACATTTGATGTCAGAGAAGAGAGAGAAATGACAGCTCCACATTTTTGGAGGCCACGAGAGGCCCCCTGCCTGCGGGACCCCCGGGCTCTGGGACTGGCTCCCACTGCCCTCTGCTGACCCTGGTTCTTGACCCTCCTGGACTGAAGCCCCTGGGCAGCGGGCTCCCTAGCTGTTGGGTGGTGGGGGAGTGGTTTCCGCGGTCACTCGAGATGAACTATTTCTGTGACCCCTAGAGGGAGTAGCAGGAAAATGACGTCAAGGCCTGGCTGAGGAGCTGCAGAGACTGGGGGGGGGGGGGGGGGAGGGGGGAGGGGGGGGGGGAGAGGGAAAGAGAGGTGGGGGAGGGAGATGGGAGGGAGGGGAAAGAGAAGAGGGGTGAGATCCATTCCCTCTGTTTTAGTTTTTGTTTTGACTAGGCAGTGGGTCACACAGCAGCTAGTAAGTTATGTGTCTGAGGCCGGATTTGAACTCGAGTCCTCCTGAGTCCAGGGCTGGTGCTCTATCCACTGCGCCGTGCCTAGCTGCCCTCAGTCCGTTCCTTCTGACTGTGTCCCCAGAGCCACGGAACTCCTCCCTCCTTTGTCCCAGGCTTTCATTTTAACGGTGAGGTCCCACGCCCCGGACGAAGCCGGATGCGAGAAGAGGAGCCGTGGCCGAGATGGGCCCTAGCCGGCTTTTTCTCGTTAGGCAGTTGTCCTCTTGCTTGGGGATCCAGACTTGATGCCGAGGCTTGAGAGCTCCTGTGAACTCGGAGGAGCTCTGGGCTTTTCTTCCCTGCCGCGCTGGTGCTGGGTGTGTCCTGCCCATGCTCAGTGGTGCACGGCGCTCTCTCTCTCTGTCTTCTAGGTCTGTCCAACGGCTTTGGAGGTGAAGCCAAGGAGCCAGAGCCGGACGACGGCCCTGGACGGAGAGTGGAGCCTCGGCGCCGCTGCGCGTCTGAGTCCAGCATCTCCTCGAGTAACAGCCTGCTGTGTAACTCCAGGTGAGCAGGGTGCTCGTGGGGGTAGAGGGGTGGGGTGACTTCCCCCCAAGAGGAGGCGGGGCCCAAGAAAGGAAGTCACCCTCTGACTTGGGTAGAGCTTGGGGCTCCGTCCCGTGGCCTTCTGTTCCTTCCTCCTCTGCTGATTTCCACATCTTATGTTCTCATATTGGCAGATGGAGCTTTGCCGTGAGGTTGACCAGAAAGTCCAAGCCTTTTGGGCCTCTCGTCAACCTTCCGGTGCAGTGGGTGGCCACGGGGCCGAGGGATCCGTGCGGCCATACCCTGGGCCCCCAGCTCCTCTCGTATGCCCAGTTTTCCCCTCCCCTGGGGCCGCCCATAGTCCCGCTGGGTGTCTACCCGGGGCGTGAGGAGGAGAGCGCTCTGGGAGGAGCGGGAGGCAGCTCTGCCAAGCACTGGGCTGGCTCCTCTCACACTGCACCCTTTGGGCTAACGGACCCGTCCTGTCGTTTGTGCCGTTTCAGCTTACCGAAGTGCGGCAGGGGCAAGCCGGCTCTGATCCGGAGACACACGCTGGAAGACCGGAGTGAGCTGATCTCTTGCATTGAAAACGGGAACTATGCAAAAGCGGCGCGGATTGCGGCCGGTCAGTAAGGGGGCTCCCTGACCCTGGCGCCCTCCTCGGGGGCACCGCCATCTGTGAATCTTAGCTCGTCTCTCTTCCAGTGAGACGACGTCCTCGTAGCAAAGCAGAGATGTTTGCGTGGGCAGGCAGAACAGAGTAGGGCAGGGCCTCGGCTTTGCCTCGTTGGGCTCCTTTCTGCTTGTGTCCTTAGAGTCCTGGGGCAGCTCCTTTTCTGGCGTCCTCACGTCCCGTGCTCCTCCCTCCGGGCCTGGCGTTCACGAACGCTCACGGCATAGTAGTGGTCCGTCCCAGTCATGTTCCACAGTGTCTTTGGCTGTTCCCCTTTGGATGGGCACCATCTTTGTTTCCTATTCTTTGTGCTGCAGAAAGCTTTGCTGTGAATCTTTTGGTGTCCAGGGGCCTCCCTGGGGGTCTTTGGGTCAGAGGCACAGCCTAGGTTTTGAAGCCGACAGATACCAGTCTTTGAAAGTGACCGCTTCGTCATTCACTTCTTTCTCTGCCACTGTGTCCGACTCAATTTTAAATCACCCAGCCAGCTCCGGGAGACTCACCTTTTGCCTCTGGCCATTGCTTCTTGAAACTACCTGGGCCATAAGAAGCGGCGAGAGGAGCGGCTTGAGAGACACCTGGCAGGACGCAGGAACGGAGGGCCGGGGGACCAGGAGCAGAACCGGGAGAACAGCGTCGAGGGGACCCCGGGGGCAGACTGCTGATGTCAGGCATGCGGGGATCCCTGCCTGAGAAGCGGAGAGGGTTAAGGGATCGTGGACGAACTGATGAAACGGGGTGGGACCAACTCGCCACATTAAACCGGGGCCTAGCCTCCCCCAGACAGACCGGCCGACCCAGCTGTCAGTTGTGCTGACCCTTGGCTTCATATGTTTTCCTCTTTTTGGGGAAATGTTTATGTGTGTCCAGTTCCAGATAATAAAAACATAAACCGAGGACCATCAGCTGGGAAGGTACGGGACCAGGTGTCAGGAGAGCAGTGAGGGAGCTCTCACCTCGGCATCAGCATCTGTTGAGATGGCAGTACTGTGGGCCCCTCCATGCCTGGAGGACAGAGGTGCCTTGAAGAGGCCATCCACTGCCACTTCTCAGCTGGTCTGAGGGAGGACCTCCCTCGTTGGAGCCCACCCTGGCAGGTAGACATCAGCCTCCTGAAGTTTTTATCGACACATTCTGTTTCTTAGATCACCATAGCATCCAGTGTGTCCCTCCACCTCCCGAGAACCTTCCCATGTGCCAGGTCGTGGTTCGCACAGCTGAGCTGTCCGTTGGCAGACGTGCCATCTGTAACACTTGTGACCTTCCTGCCTCTCTGGAGGGGTCTTCTCATAGCCGCTTCATACTGTAAATTTGTGGTCACCCAGAATCCCCAAATCATGCCTGTATACAGCTGCCAAGCCAGGGCAGGGCTCCTCCATTCTTCTCACCTACTGCGCACAGTTTGCTTCCTTTTTAGTGTTGGGGGTGTTGTGTACTCCCCTTCCCCAGAGGTCTTCAAGGAAAGTGGAGGATTGCTGGTTGGATGAGAGACCTGGGGCCGGTGCTGTCCGCCTCTGAGGTTCTGAGCCCGGTTCGGTCGGGCATACGACCGGTTGTCCTTCTCAGGCTTTGTTGGAAGAGCACAGTTGGCGTGGTTTCATCTGTGTCTCTGAAAAACGTGGTGGAGCAGGGATGCTTGGGGACTACCGTGAGGTCGTCACACTGGCAGCGGGCAGTGTAGCCGGCTACCATTCCCATCGTCCTGCCCCCACTTCACTCCTTGGTCCATTATTGTAGGAGATATTTTAGGAGACTTGGCCAAATGGTGAAATAAAGATGCTGCATGGCATTCACCTGATTCCTCACAGCAATAACCCTGGCAGAATTTGATAGACGATTGAAAATCTTGGTGGTGGGAAGACGTATTCCCTCCTTAGCTTCTTTTGGCTTTTTATGTATTATAGAGCTTTTGATCGAGGCTTTTCTTTGAAATTCTTGGTCTCAGTCTTGCTGTCAGCGTGCTAACTCACCCCTCATCCCAAAGAAGGCTTCCTTCATTAAGAGGTCCAGTGCCTCCAGATGCAGAGGTAGAGTCAGGCCAAGCAGCTCACTGCATTGCTTGTGCCCCTGAGCCCTTCTCCTCACTGCCCGCGGGGGGAGGCCTGCTTTGCTTTTGGGCTGGTCACTGGCTCGGTCAGCCTTCCGAGAGCCTTCCCGGTGTTTGCGTCAGGGCCTGTGCGTCCCATTTGTCTCTGAGTCCAGCCTGTTTGTACTTCTCTGTGGCAGGGTTCATCCGTTTGAGTCCCACTGAGCTGGTGGCATCCATGCTTCACTTGAGAGCCCCCCCCTCCCCTGTTTGAGGGCCAAGCCTTCAGCGCAAACTCAGACTTTTTGCACATTCTTAAGAATGACGCACAGGGCTGAGAAAACCCCACTCTGATAACCAACCACCCAAGTCAGATTGCCCCACTCTGGGTTGGCTCCGTCTTCTTTTTGGTCTGGCACTGTCTGTCCGATGTCCCGTGGAGAAGAGTAGCTCTCTCTTGCATAGCTTCGGAAGCTTGCCAGTGGCTCGGGGTGGCATTTTCCTTGCAGTTGTTGGCTCTTGTGGTCCCGTGGCCCCTTGTGTGGAGTGCATTCTGTCCCATCCTTCTTCCACGCTTGTGTAGCCGGGACTGCCGAAGAGCTGGTGCGGATGGGGCGGTAATGGCCTTACTCCAGGAGTCCAGTGCGACACGGGCGCCCAGTGTGTCCATGACCGTCTCTGAAAATGACGTCGTTAAAACGACAGATGTGGGGCCTCAAGCTGATGGTCTGCATTGTGTAGCCCCCGCCCCTCTGAGGGAGGGGAGACGAGGGACGCTCAGACTGGATGGCAGCTGCCAGCCAAGCTTCCTGAGAGAGCTTAGGTTTGGACACGTAAGATGAGGATTGTTTTAAAGTGTGGTGGCAAGGGGGATTTCTAACTGCCACCCCCGCTCGAGTGTTCTTTAAGGGTCTGCCTGCTCGAGACTTGAGGGGTGTTGGCTGCTGGCTTATCATGCCCGTCTGGTGATGATGTCGCTGTCGAGCCGCGGTGGCTGCGTGTCCGGGGCCTGAGGTGTCGCAGGGAGGGCAGCACGGTCAGAGCGGGGCCGCTGGCGTTTTCTGTTCACCCGGAAACAAACACGCCTCGGATTTAGAGCGAGGACATTGTCAGTGCCGCCTGCACGTGACCTTCCTGATCTTGGGCTGCATATGCAAAATAAACACAAGGGCAGAATTGTTTATGACTTTGAAATGCCAGGTCTCTGCCTGTGTGTGCTGATGGTGCCCACACTCGCTGGGTAGTGGCTCGTAGGAATGCCCTTCCTCTAGCAGTTTTGCTAGCCTAACTTGATGAATTGGAGACCATCCCTCAAGCCCTTTTTAATTCTCATTTTGCTAATTTAAAAACCGTTGGAACATTTTCCAGTTTGTGTTAGTTTGTATTTCGTCTTTTGAAAACGTCACATGCTTTGTTCATTCTGCTGGGGAACGGTTAGCGGTCTGATATTTGTGTCATTCCCTATAGATTCTGGTTATCAGAATTTCACCAGTTACTCCCTGTTGCCCCTCCATGTTTTTTTCTGATGGCTGTGTGGATTTTATTTGGCAGTGGTTTAAAATTTTAAAATATTAGTCTTTTAATTAGAAGTTAATTGCTTTCTGCCTGTCTTTGACATTGAGTAGTTCTCTCTCACCAGAGCCCTCCTCCAGTGTAGTTCTCTGCTCCTGGGTGCCGGGGCACCTTGCTGTAGAGGAGTGAGTAACAGCCCACGTGTCCGTGGCTGTCCTAACAGATGCCACGGGAAGGTGCGGGCAGCTTTGCCGCCATCTTTTCCCGACTTCCTTTGCATTGGTGGTATTCCATGTGGTATCCTTCTTCTAAATGGGAGCCTTTGTTCTTTGAGGAGGGGCTCCTGGGTACAGAGCGCGGGGCTAGAACCATCCCACAGAAACACTGCCTCCTGGGGGCAGAGCTGTGAATCGGTCTAAGTGTGCTGGGGAAAGGTTTGGGTTAATCCCACGAGAGAGTCTGAAATGCCGAGCCCAGCGGCCCAGAGCTTCTTTTGCCAGGGCTGTGCCCAGACGTGCCAGACGTGCCCAGAGCAGCCCATTGCTTTGAGAATTGATCGATCCTGCGGTGGCTAGGCTGTGATGGACCCCGCCCCGTACCGTCCAGGGCAGTGAGGGCGATGACCAGAAGCGTGGGAGGACGACAGGTGGGCTGAGCCACGTGACGTGAGGTGCCCCCAGGGAACCCTGCCCTGGGAATGACAGGAGCGGGTTCAGCTCCAGCTCGGGCTTGTTCCCGAGGAAGAGGAAAACGTGTCTCCTGCTTTGCAGAGGCGGGCACCTGCCTGCGTGAGACGGGCAGATGGGGGTGCCCGGAAATGAAGGCGACCTTTCAGTCCCCGTTTCACACTTAAGTGACAGTCCTTGTGAGCTGGACAAGGCAGCAAGGTGGTTTTCAGAGTCCTTGCTACACCTGGGCCCTGAAAGACGCTCGTAATCCTGCTGCCCTGAAACACCGTGGAGATTGTCGCACTTTTTGTCTGAAGACCCACAGAACTTGGCTTCTTGGTACGTGAGAACTTCTGCTCCTGGCTGATCTCCTCTAACCCCTTTTAAAAGCCAGAGATCGTTGTCGTCTTGGTGCTGGCCCACCTCTGGTGGAGAATAAAAAGTTACTTGGAGAAAGAAGTTCATTAGGCCCTCGGGCGGAGGTTAGCACGTGGGATGCTTATAGAAGGTGGGGGTTTGGCAACCGGCCCGGGCTGCACTTTTTAAGAAGTCCCCGGGTCATGGTGGGCTGTCAGCAAGTCCCAGCGGATTGGAGATTCCCGCATTCTGCTTCCCATCGCGTGGCAGCAGAACCAGTTCAGAATTCTGACTCCCAGCCAGAAGACTGATTAAGGGACTTCTGCAAGGTGACTCTTAGCAAGCCTCTCCCCCCTCTGATTAGGAGGAGCTCAGAGGCCCTGCGGTCA